AGTCTCGTTCTCAAATTAGAACTTCAAAGAAGTAGAAAAACGATGGAAATCTTCCTTCGTAATCGAACAATCATGATGAGATAAAAATGTTTGCTTCAGACATCAACAATATTTTCAGAAAACAAATTTTTAATGGCAAGATTTTTTTTTGGTTTAACATCAATTAAAAATTTTATCATAAAGGTAACTGATTTTAAAGAAGTATTTACTTTTCCTTTCTTCAAACTATTGTAACGATTCTTGATCCAAGATATGCAGTGTAGATGGAGATCACACATATGTTTACTTCTTTACAATCGAAAACTATACATCAAGCATTTTTTCGTCCTCCTTATATATTATAAACGATGATAGAGAGGAAGCTGATATAACGAAAAATCAAGGACAGACCTGAATAGAAATGTCATTGAAGTAAAGACGAGTGAAATACTGATGTGACGTCAAAAGTAAGAGCAATGTAGAAGACAATTCACGTCACGCTATCAAGGAACGGGTATTGACGTCATTCTATTGAGGAATAGGTATGGACGTCATTTTATCGAAGGACAGGTATGGACGTCATTCTATCGCGAGATAAGTATTGACGTCATTCTATTGAGGAATAGGTATGGACGTCATTTTATCGAGGGACAGCTATTGACACAATTAACAGGGAAAAATCTCATTCAGAACCAATCGAATGGCTTGGAATGATGCAAACTGAATAGTCATGTTTTACAATAGACAGATGTACATAAGAATGTTTTAATGCTTTGGCTTTCACTAGAAATGCAACAAATCGTCAACAGAATTTAGATTTGAAGCCTTACGTTTAGATGTGGTTTACATCTGGAACACAGATTGGACCTGAGAACGAGTCTACGTATATACGTTAGAATATCGTCACTCTTGTTGGAGTCATTACATCCTATTATTGCCAAAAAGCAAGTTCAAATAGTAAGACTTTGGTGTGAAACTGCAAAACATTCTCTTGAAGTGTTTCTCTCCTACAGCTAAGCTGAGCATTGTTGTTGACATTATGCTATCCAGTCCATACTAAGTTGAAATACTAGATATTTCACGTAATTTAATTCTCTTCTTTTTATCTTCTTTTTATTTGTTTTAGTTTTTAATTTTTCTATTTAAAATTTTAAAATTTTAATTCAAATTAATTTCAATTGAATTTAATTTGATATTAATAATAATTTATCTAAATTCAACATTGTGACATGT